GAAAGAACATCAACGAAACAATGTTAAATACTTGATGGTTTTTTATTCATTCTTTTGTTTTGGTGTGCGCAGGAGCTTTGCATTCTGGTGAACAAGAATCAGTTATGGAGAAGTTTTATATAAGGTCAACCATTATGAAAGTACATCAGAATTACATGCCGCTGGCATTTAAAAAACGCTGTGGTCAGTACAAGACGACCTTTCAGAATTAATGGGTTTTCCTATACCAGACTTTATTCCCTGATAAAAATGTCCTGTTCCCTCTTCTTTTAATTTTTAAAAAATCTACCAACACTATTTTAGAAATATCTAAAGGCATGCAATCCTCTGTTAAAGAGAACTGAATAATAAACATTCTTTCATATATAAATGATATGGTGTTTAAACTCTCCAATTAGAAGTAGCCTAAATAGACAGTTGGCTTTGCAAGCTAAATATCATCAGAAAGAATAGCTATAAATCAACTATTCTGAAAGCAAAGTACTATTTTCTTAACTGCTCTATAAATAGTGAATCATTTTAGTTATCCTTGATGCGATACCTTGTGAACAGTTTATCTTAGAGAGAACAACAAGATATAACGTTGTTCTAAGCTAGAGCTGTTATTTTTTTGAGTATTTTCTTTAGACAAATTTTGGTATCTGGTTACAATTACCAAGAAATTTTTCAGGCTAACTGTCTGTGACTGTATTATAATAGAGAAGAGTTTTGAGGGTTCAATCACCCATCATTGGCAGAACAGATTGAAACAATCCCTTGGCTCAGTTCCCTGGGCTCAACCTTCCAGCAGAGACAGGCAGCCTTCCATGCAGGTACAAGTCCTTGTTATTCAACTGGCAACACAGAACAAGCTGCCCCCCTGGGTACTTACAAGAAAGAACATCTCAAGCTCAATGACACTGGACAGTCATCAAATCTCAGTGAGAAAAACAAATCATTTAGGAAACATTACTTGAAGAAATGGACTCCAATCATGCCTCCAAATAGTTAAATAAACCAAAACTTACCCCTGAATCAAACCAGATCAGCACAGAGTAGGCATTTCTCATGCATCTTTCCTTGCCCACCTATGCCGAATTGTGCCATAATATAATGAGCCATGTTTGAGGGACACAGGCTATCGCGGCACCTGCCTGGGAAATGTAGGAGTTGGAAGGGGGGTGGTCCATCGGAAGATGACAATCTGTTCAAGCCCAGCTTTGGGCTATAGCTGAAACTGAAATAGAAATAAATACTCCCTGATAAAAGTGGAAGGTGGGCAGCTGGGACTACAGGCATGTGCCACCATGCCTGGCTAATTTTTTGTATATATATTTTTAGTTGGTCAATTAATTTCTTTCTATTTTTAGTAGAGATGAGGTCTCGCTCAGGCTGGTTTTGAACTCCCAACCTAGAGCAATCCGTCCGCCTTGGCCTCCCAGAGTGTTAGGATTACAGACGTGAGCCCCCACGCCCGATCTCCCTCATATCTTTGTTACATACTTCTCCATGTATCTCTTAAATTGGTTATATTGTTCTGTTTCTAAATTCTTGAGCTGAATGCATTAAAAAAATTCAACTTATTTCCATTCTTTTGTTTGATAATAAAGGTTTTTAATGCTTCTTTTTCCCTTTCAGATTTGAGCTTTTACATAATTCCTTAGGCATTGATAAGCATTTTCTTTACTTTCAAGTCATGATATAATTGCTATTCTGCTTTTTCCTTTGATTACAAAATTATTTATGAGTGTTTTAATGTATGTTCTCTTTACCCTTACTTTCAAAGCATTATATAATTGCTACTTGGATTTCCCCTTTGATTGAAGAATTAATTATAAGTGTTTTATACAAGTAGTTT